AAGCGCCACATAGCCTGAAAATTTTTGCGCTGCCCTGTAATACCCATCACTTGGTCCGGAAGTCTTCCAGGATAAAAACGATGGGATGGAAAATGCCCAGCGTCTTTTTCAATTAAACGCCCCTCTCAAGCCGGCGACGCCCCATCCACCCAGGACCTCTGTTGCCAGACACAGTACCGTAACTTCAAAAAACGTTCCGATGTCTGCCTCGCAGCTTCAAAAGGCACGTTACTTACCTTTACCCAAGTTATGTCCGAAACTCAATTAGACAACTCGTATTCCCCATTTTAACGTCCCACAGCCTCTTGATACGGGGCCCCCCGGGGGCGCTCATACCTGCCGTTGATCGTGCTAACGAATATCCGGTAAGTTGTTGAAATGGTAATAATACCGACAAGATGAGATAAGACACATGTGCCACGGGGTAACTTTATTTTAGACTTTCGCCACCAGTGGCTTTTTCAAAAACAAAAACTAGGCATAACTTGAAAACAGTAGAACTTGTCAGAAGAGAGGTAATCAACCTAAAAAATAGGGGTAGGGGGCGAACAACCATAGTCGTGGAGATTTTTAAGCAGAAAAAAACTGGCGCTTAATAGTAACGTCAGGTGTAGCAGACGAGGGCATATTTACGGGGCGGGGCCCCCTGGAATAGGGCCTTCCCCAAAAAGATGGGGAGTTGTAAAGTAGTTGTCGTAGTCGTGAAGGTTATGTACATGTCCCTCGAAAAAGATTCCATGATGTTTCAGTGTCTGACAAGTTGTGTACGAAATGCCCTCGTTGCTACACCTACGTTACTATATAAGCGCCCGGATTCTTTTTTTCTGCTTTTTAAATCTCCCCCCCCCTATGGTCTGTTCGCCCTACTCCTAGTTTGAGGACATTACCCATTTCTGTACAATTCTACTGTCTTCAAGTTTGTCCCAGAATTTGTATTGAAAAGCACTGGAGGCGAAACGCTACAATAAAGATACCCAGATGTTCACTTTTTCTTACTCTCATCTTGTGGTATTTATACATTTCGTACACAACTTTTCCGACACTGCAACATCATGGAATCTTAATTCTGAGGACATGTACATAACCTTCACGACTACGACAACTACTACTACTACTAACCCATCTCTTTGGGAAGGACCTACTTCCACTGGGGAATCCCACCTACCAGTGAATATGCCCTCGTCTGCTACACCTGACGTTACTATATAAGCGCCAGGCTCCTTTCTTCTGCTTCAGAATCTCCACGACTATGGTGCTCGTTGCACCTACTCCTAGGTTGAGGGACTGATTACCTCATCTTCTGTACATAGTTCTACTGTCTTCAAGTTATGTCCTAGAATTTGCATTGATAAAGCCACTGGATGGCGAAACGTCTACAATAAAGATACCCAGATGTTGCACATGTGTCTTAATCTCATCTTGTCCGTATTATGTACCATTCGTACACAACTAGTCAGACATTGCAACATCATGGAATCTTAATTCTGAGGACATGTACATAACCTTCACGACTACGACAACTACTACTACTACTAACCCATCTCTTTGGGAAGGACCTACTTCCACTGGGGAATCCCGCCTACCAGTGAATCTGCCCTCGTCTGCTACACCTGACGTTACTATATAAGCGCCAGGATTCTTTCTTCTGCTTCAGAATCTCCACGACTATGGTGCTCTTTGCACCTACTCCTAGGTTGAGGGACTGATTACCTCATCTTCTGTACATAGTTCTACTGTCTTCAAGTTATGTCCTAGAATTTGCATTGATAAAGCCACTGGATGGCGAAACGTCTACAATAAAGATACCCAGATGTTGCACATGTGTCTTACTCTCATCATATCGGTTATATAGCAAATTCTCATACAATCTTGTCAGCAATGCAACAGTATGGTCGCGAATTCAAAGGTAAATAACCTTCACGACTTTAAAGACAACCTACTCCTAAACAACTAACACCAGTTTTGGGAACGACCTACTTCCACTTTTGAAATCCCGCCCTTACCAGTGATCTGCCCTCGTCTGCTACACCTGACGTTACTTTTATAAGCGCCAGGATTCCCCTTTCTTCTGCCTCAAATCTCCACGACTAATGGTGCGTTCGCACCTACCCTAGTTGAGGACTGATTACCTCCATCCCTTCTTACATGTTCTATTGTCTTTAATTTATTCCTAAATTTGTATTGATAAAGCCATGGATTGGCGAAACGTCTAAAAATAAGATACCCGATGTTGCACATGTTCTTAAATCTCATCATTCCGGTAAGCCCTGTTGAGCAATACTCCCATACAAATCTTGCTCAGCAAACCGATGTGTCGCGAATTTAAACAAAGGTAGAATCACCCGGGGGACTGAGGTGTAAATACACCCCTCACAAATCAAAGCACACATGTTTTACACGCCTTTTTGTATTTTGCCCATCTTTGAAAATCAATCGGCAGGGGAAGGGCCCCTCAACCAGACGTGTTGCAGCAAAAAA